CTTCGCTGAGATGTAGGATTTAAACATGTGTCTATGATTCATTAATGATAGTTTTTAAACTGACAGTGTGATATTCAGTGTCTTTAAATTTGGCACATTTCATTCAGTATGTGTTTGTACCCAAAATCAGAAAACCGCTTTGAGGACACTCACATTTTCCACTGAAACAAGACTAATAAAATTGTATGGGAGATTCACTTAACCTTTTCACAGTGGAAACTCAATACATTACAATACTGCTATGAAATTAACTTACGTGCAGCTTTGTGATAATTTCTATTGAATCCCCACCTGTTTCATAACAGCTGCAAGGAACAGTTAATAATTAAATTTTAATGTCTTTAATTGTTTAAGAATCCGACTACATTTGGATATGTCAGCAGGTAATGCTAGTTTTTGCTCTAACAAAAGCATAATGTGTTGTAGAATCACAATAAAATCACAAATCAGTGTTAACCTCTTTACTATATTTCTATCATTGTAAATATATGTTGTATGCTAACATACCCTTAAGTTTATTAGACACTGTTTGAGTTGAGATAATTTGGCTTTGGATGGTTTGAAATTGCTAATGAAAAACTAGGGCACACTTTTCAACCGAATTCCCACGGCTATAACTTCAATGCCCAAAGCCAAAGTGTACAAACTACAAACGTTACTGAAATTAGGGATTAGCATTGCAAAAGTAAAAAAAAACAACAACATTCATTTAGAAGCTAACGTTACAGTAATTAACCAGCAATAGCGAGTTTCTCAGGTAGTTTGTAAACGTAGGCTATAAATAAATGTAATGTTTTCAGTAATTCAAAGTTGGCCAACCTGTTGCTTGTCAGTAAACCAGTCTGAAATCCACAGCATTCAGTTTCAGCAAAATGTGTTAGAATATATATATATAAGTTACCTTAATGTGGACTTTTTTTTGAAAAGCAGGTACGGTTTGTGTAAATGGCTAAGCTCCAGCTGAGTGCGTTGGTAGTGTGTCCAGACGGCTCGGCGGTATCTCTGCAGCAGACTTCACTAAAGTGACCCTACAGTGCCGCATACCCCGCATATTTAAAGTCTCAGTGGGAGGAGGGGTTTCGAGGGGCGTGAACTCAACACTGCTGCCTTCAGGTGCTGTCAGAAAGTATGAAGGAAAGTCAACCACTGCTGCACACATAGGCTACGCCGGGTAGAATATTGATAGGCCTTGTTTTTTGATGTCTGACTTGGCCCCCTGATCATTTCATTTAAAAAAGAAAACAATTGCTGTTGCCATGGAAAAATGTGTACAGTGGCACTCTTGATGGTTATGATAGGGTTATTGAACAAATCTATGTGGCTGATCATTAAACACAGACAAGCTACATTTGCTATGATTTCCCCCAAAGAGTGAATTTAGTCCTCTCTCTACACTGTATTGGGGAATTCTACTGGTTGTAGAAGATAGCATATTACCACTGTACCAAAAAGGACATGCCCTACTTTGTTTTAAGTTATTTTGGACCAATGGCTCTGACTTTAAATATAATGCATTTAAGAGGATTGCGTTTTAGCACTTTATGCTTGGCATCCAGAGTAAATGACTGCTGCAAACTCAAGGGCATGGGAGGACACATTTTCTGATGGCTTAAGTGTTTGGATCTATCTCTGCCCACACTTGCAGTTATCCTGCCTCCTGCTGGACACAGACTGTAATAAATGATGGCTTGTTCGTGGTTGTGGGGAGAGCACAGAGAAAATCCTAAAAGGTGGGTAAGGGTTGACATTATAACTTTACTTTAACACCGAGGGGAAAAAAACATAACGCAAACAGAATAAATCCAGACACAACACCTTCCTTCCCTCTGGGCTTTCACAGTTTCCTGCTTGTATGACAAATTGGACCCAGCTGCACACAGAGCATCTTACATTAGTGATTACAAAACTTTGCTGTACCAAAGTGAAAGTATTATAAGTGACTGAAAGATGTTGTGTTTTACATTTTAAAACTTTAAGCTGACGCTGTTACACGGCCACACCAGGAGAGAGCAAGCGTGGATTCAGCCCAGTATGACAAGACACACATCACCTCAGCTCTGCTGTTTCTGAAACCTGTGACCTTTAGTTTCATGACCGTTCTCATGGCATCCCAACAAGTCTCACCACAGTGAAGCCACATGGCGGCACTGGGAGCAGACTGGCATGATTAATTTTAACATATTAAAAGGTTAAACCATAAAATGAACCCCTCTTGAGGGTAGGCATGAATTATGCCTAATTAAAGACCTTAATGTAAACAGAGACGCAGTAAATCTGTTTGTGTTTTTTAGCTAAACCAACATAGGTCATAGATTATAGCCTCCTGCTGCCAACAAACCTCAGCTTCATTATTTTTCAATTATGCTATTTAATTATCGCCAACTTCAGACTATTCATTCTATTAGTGGCATTAGCATTATTCTATTACAAAATGGATAGTGAGAAGGCAGATGCCTGTGAATATAGATCAGACCATTCGAGATTCAAGGATAACTTTACTGTCCCACAAAATCAAACTTGCACACTGCATCCATAAAAAAGAAACAAGCATTCCACGTCTAAAACATAAAGGTGTTATTTTATAAATAATAATAATAAAAATAATACATCAAGGTTCCTAAAAGCACCTGTACACAGAGACACCTTGATAAAAGCAAAGATCTTTAAACTTTTTTATTTATATCACAATAGCTGTGGGGAAATTGAGACGGTCATTTGTGGCCACAAAATGAGACCATTATTACTATAGTGATCAAATAATGTGCAGATGCAAGACATTGCAGTGCTGTGAAAAGGATCTTTTTCTCTTGTATATTTTTCACAATGAACAGTCTTGGATGTATTTACAAAACAAATATTAGACGAAGGAAATTTGCAGTAACACACTACACTTCTTTTATTGTCTAATTTATTTAAGTAACAAAGGTATCCGAGGCCCACATCACTCCAAACTGAAAACGTTTTTGCCCCTTTCTCCATCAGCCGATTAAACTAATTTGATTGTTAATTGCATTGAGCTGATTGAATACAAACAAGATCCCAACAGAATGTTATTTGTCAGTCCAGAAAGGTCATACAAAGTCATTTCTAAAGCTTGGAGGCTGCACAGAATCACAGTGAGAGCTGTCATGTGCAAAGTGAGAAATCTTGGATAGTGAATTATCTGAGGTTTTCTCGAATTGTGCAGTGACAACATAAGGAAGTCTCAGAGCGCTGCGCTCCCAGAATGCAGGGTTACTTGTGGTTCCCCTCCTGTGGAATCGGGTCTGAGTTTGGGTCCGGGAGACAGACACCATCTCCATATTTAAGAGTAGGTTTAAGACATAACTCTTTGATGAAGCTTATAGTTAGGGCTGGCTCAGACTGAAGCATCCCCTGCTGTTATAGGCCTAGACTGCTGGGAGACTTCCTCTCTCCTCCTCTTCCTCTCCATCTGCATGGATTCCTATCCCATCAAAGTAGTGGTTCTCAAATTTTCTATCATGCCCCCCTTTTAAAAGCCAAAAAACATTCAAGCAGCCCCAATTTCAGCAAATGTGGATTTCATTTTTATCAATCAATAAAAGCGGGATTGAAATAAAACAAAAGATTCCGGTTAGCAAAATAGCCTTGCTTGGATCTGGGCCTTTTTTGTGTGTTTATGTCATCACATGAATCACATTCATGCAACCTTAGGTCCGCTCAACGTCTATGCCCCCCTTGCGGAGGGAGGCCCGCCCACCCAGTTTGAGAACCGCTGCATTAATGCATGTTAAACTTCCCTTTCCCCTAGTCTTGTGCTTTCTCATCCCTCTTCTCTCTCATCCTATCCATTTCGGCAGGTGTGTCTGGATCTGTGGTTGCAGGCTTCCCGCTGACCCTGTGTTTCTGCTCTTCACCCACTGCTGCTGCAATTGCTAGTAGTAGTAGTAGTAGTAATAGTAGTACCATTATTATTGCTATCATCATTTAGTACTATTATTCAGTTTCATTGATGTCTGCACCACAACAACCTTTACTGTTGTATTTTGCATTTCTGTTTGGGTACCCCCCCAACTGGTCGAGGCAGACGGACCCCAAGTCAAGGTTCTGCTCAAGGTTTCTACCTGTTAAAAGGGAATTTGCAAAGCGCTTGCTCATGGTGGGGATTGTTGGGTCACTGTGAATAACATTACAAAGAGTACGGTCTGGACCTGCTCTACATGAAAAGTGCAATGAGACAACAAAAATTTAATGAAATTGGATTGAGTTTGGTAAAATACATTTTTTAAGAATGAACAATGAGACAGATGTACGGTAAATCATTGTGTCCGATTGGCTATTGCTATTTAGAACATACGTGCGATTAATTATGTTCTCCTGAGACTTGCTCCTAAGGTTTACTCTCACACTTGCTGCTGTTGATCAGAATGAGTAGCTCGATGAATATTACTATTGCTCTCCAATATATGTTTTACTCCCCCCAAATCAGCTTGTGCATTCTAAAGTGCAATTCCTACATAGGGCCCTGGACTGACTTGCCATTTTTATGAATTATCAACAATATCCAGTCATCTGTCTGTGAGCTTAGGCGTCATGCAGCAAAGTAGTAATGCGGAACACAAAAGCAAGTCCGCATGTGAATGACTGCAAAGAGAACCCCCCTCCCCCCAGAAAACTCTGGACAGGTCCCAACCCTACTGAGATGGCCAGTTGTCTCAGATTTGGGTTGGTTGGGTATGTTTTGTATTTGGTTTCTGTTTTCATTCCCTGCCCTTGTTTGCTTGTTTTACTAGTGTTCTGGTCTTGTTTTACTGTCTGTGTTCTTAGCTTTTTGTAGGTTTTGTCAGCAAGGCATTAAAGTCATCTGTGTTATGTTTTATTTTGTGATTTCATGCCTTGTGTATTATGTGACTCTTACTTCCTGTTTTGGTTTGTAGTTTTTCTGCCTCATGTGTCACTGTCTCTCTTTGCTTCCTGTGTTGGCTTCTCTGATTGTCCAGTGGGTTCACCTGTGTGTAATTATGGTCTCCCCTCCTGTTGTATTGTGGTTTGCCCCTTCACTCTGTGCCAGTTCATTGTTTCCCATGCCAGTGTTTCTTGTGCCCCCTGTGTTTTGTGGATTCACTTTGGATTTCCTTTCAGTTGGACCTTTTGGATTATTCCCCTGTTGTGTTTTGGGCTGCTCACACCATATCAACTGTAAGTCTGTTTTTTTCCCTCCCTGTCTGCATTTCAATCTCCATGTCTGCATTTGGGTCCACAACCTCTGTTACCAGCATTCAGCTGGCAGCTGAACATAACACAAAGCTAGCAGCACACCTGGGTTTAATAGGCATAGTAGTGTAATTCAGAAAGAATTTCTGAGAGCAGAAGCTAAGCAGTAATAAAAATCAAATACAGACTGCCTCAGGTAGAGCTACAGCTCCCATTTCCCTCATATGAACACAAAGGCTTGAGGCGAGGAAATCCCAGAGAGCCACAGGTAAATGAAAAGCAATAAATAGAATTTTTTTTTAAAACCAAAACTAAAATGTTAAGCGTTTAATAGGAAGGTGGTTGCTCTTATGAAATAATAATGGGACGGATTATGGTACTTTGAAAGGATACACCAAATGGGTACAAAAAAATTACATGTTTTTCAGATGTGATCTACAGATGTTTTTGTTTTTATGCCCTAAATCGACATATAACCCTTTTTAAAGAACTTTTTTTTAAACACTGATTATAACTGTATCCAGCTGCACCTTGAATAAAATAAACCTGTTTATAAATCCTAATTGTAGTAGTACTAGTGGCATACCCAGTAAGCACTGTTTAGTTGATTTGCAGGTCAAAGAATATCTAGATGTCTTTGTAAAATTTGGGCTAAAACTTAAGCAAGTCTTAACTTCACTTAAAAGTAGAATCATTACTGTTCAGCCCAGTTTTAACCTAGACATACAGAGCTTCACTATCACTGCGCTCGGCTAAGACATTGTCCAGAACATAACCCCCCTGTCAAATTGCAAACTGCTTTTTGGTTTTTAACAGCTTAACACATAAAACAAATCTAACTCTAAATCTTTAAATCGAAAACAGAGCCAGGCTGGCTGTTTCCCACTGCCGCCAGAGCAGTCTTTACGCTAAGCTAACCATTTCCTGGCTGTAGCTTCATATTCTAATGGGAAAACAAAAGTGTGATAGACATCTTCTCATCTAACTCTTGGCAAGAAAACGTATTTCCCAAAATGTCAAATCACTCTAGGTTATCATCAGTTCATGGTCTGTCTTATTGTGAAATACAGCCATTAAAAATGTTGAAACAACTGTTATATGACTACAAAGCTTTTATTTCAGTTTTATCCTAAACATCTGCGCCTAAAGACCACACTAATTAGTTGGTTACTGGGTAGTATGTACAGGAAGTAGTTCTATCAGTAGTAGTGGAGGTGGTAGCACAAATCCATATGCTAGCAGTACTAGCAATGGTAATAGCAGTAATAGGCTGCTAGTAGTACAGTTGTAGTAGAACTGGCAATAGTTAGTGACGTAGTAGTAACAGTTGTAGTGATCAGGGTGGTAAGAAAAGCAATGAATATGTGTTCATTGAAGTGGTTTTTGGCCAGAGCAGATACTGTACATATAAACTTAATGGTCCCATCTGCTGAGGTTTAGTGTCATAAATGCTTGGCAGGGGCCAAACACATCTATTGGCAGCTCCCTCGGCTCAGTTTTAGCACTGATATAAAAGCTTAGATTAGATGTTTATATCCTCAGACAGATGGTGTGTGTGTTTTTAAGTGCGACTCAATTAGCCTGACCTGACCCTGAGAATCACACTTGATATGCATTGTTGAAATCCTTAGTTTATTGGTGTTTACTGCATGGGTCATTAGAATTTCTGAATCAGACTTCTTTCTGCTTCTCCACTGATATCTGAGGTTTTGTTTGGAATAACGCACATTATAATGCTGTGGCTTCACCCAGATCAGCAGTTCCATCTTGTGTTTAATGTGTACAACGCAGCAGTGTGTTATCTGACCACATTAGCACGGCTTGCTTCCATCTGTTGGGTCACTCTGAAATGGGCTGAATTATTGGTGTAATTTGTACGTTTGTAAATCGATAAACTGAAACAATTTGTAAATCTGTCAACAGTTGGATTACCATCTTAGTGGATTTTTTTTCACTGTAGAATACAACTGGATAGCTAAATAAATTTTCTTTTAATTTCCGATTAAGTAGGGTGAGCCTTTTATCTTTGAAAAAACATAATTACATTAGTAAAGCTTTGGTGGGGGGGGGGGAATATAAAGCACACACACCAAAACTGGTCAGTGTCATTTTATTTTTTAAAGTTTGTGAAAGTCATACAGAAGAAAGCCAGTTTGGCCCATAACTACAGAGAGGGAAGAGTAGAACAGTGAAGGAATAGCTCTAAGTTTTGTAGACGTTAAAATGAGCAGTGCAATAATCATTATTTTAAAAACAGGAAAGCAGCATTTAACATTCTGCATGTGGAAATATAAATGACACTGAAACAATGTACAAAGAATTAATGACACAACTGTACATTAATAACACATCCAGTGATCAGAGAGGATTATCTGTGCACCCTTTGGTGTGACATAGGTAAACTCTCCTGAATGCAAAGCACCAATATTTTGGCTGGGTTGTCTTAAGATTAGAGGGCGGTTGATACTAACCCCTGGACAACCTGAGAAAATCTGTACTGAGGAAGCAGCTCTCTTCTCTCAGCAAGGCACTTAACCCCCAACAGCACCAGCCAACAAGAGAGCGTGGTCATGTCAGGAGTCTCCCAGATGTGTCGGACTGTATGCACGTGGAATCGCGCTGCTAAAACAGACAACACATAAACTCAGTCTACTTTCCCTGGATAAATTAAGGATAAAAAAATTCTTTACAGTACTCTGATATCTCTCCAAAATCCACTTCTAGTAAAGTTACAAGTATTCGAGTACCTGAGAGCATCGTCACATTTAGTTGTCAGAGCTAAAGGATTTGTTTAACCATTAAGCTCTATGGTTGCACATACTCAGTGAAAACATACACAGCACCAGTAACATTTGTCTTCCTGATGAGTAAATCCAAGTCCAACAACTGTTTGAGATACTCGGCTTTCAGTAAACACTTAAGGCTTTAGTGATTTTTCTCCTCACAGTAATGTCTGAAATAAGCCGAGAGAAGCTTGTCTGCTACTGTCGACGTAACCCGGCTGCTGATACATTTCCTATTATACCTTGATAATGTAGCTAAACCTAACAGGGGCCAGACAATCACTTCAATATTAGACAAACATTTGTCAAATACTAAAACAAGTTAATGTTCCATTACAGTTCTGTAATCAACATATATTAGCTAAAATATAAATAGCAATTGGGCTATATATACACACACACACACACACACACACACACACACACACACACACACACAAGTGACAGGGGGTTAGGTAGCTTGATCGTATCTGGGAGGGAAAATTAAGGCCGACAAACAAAAGTTCAGCAGTGGCCGACTCCCACCACAGGAGGGCACTGTTACATTGGCAATACTGCTTCTCTCATTCACTTGGAAACGCAGCATCCCATAATTAAACCATGAGGCACATTTGAACTGTTACTATAACGACCAATAACGGAAGAGTTTCATGTAAAAATGAGATTCCCACCATTTAGTAAAACATTACAATCATCAGCAAAATGCGAGATATCTTAAGATCTCTGCTTTCCAAAAACATGTTTCATATTTAAGGATAGTTAATTTTACATCTCAGAGTAAACAGTCTCTTGCTAAAACGTTTATTCTTGGAAGATTGGAAGGAAACCCTTAATTTATTAATTAATAAACTAACAAAGCATCAGTGGGTTGAAACCATTTCTTTCACACCAGCATGTAAGCCACCCAATTCCATCTCTTCAGATGTCTACATGGTCGGAGGGTGGCCGATGTCCAGTCTCCTCTGTGCGGAGCCTCTTTTCCGGGCAGCTGGTACAGCACTGACTCCACTTCCCAGTGTGCCTGGGGTCTGGAAGAAAGCCTTAGCAGCAGACGATGTGGTTTCCTTTGGTGTCTGTGAAGGTAAGGAGTGATGTAGGCTTTGGTTAGTTACATTATTGACAGGTACTTTGGGGAGCAGGGAGCATTTTCACAAGTTTCTTTGAAGGTGGATTCGAGAACTCTTAGATGTCAGAAAACAGTCACTGTTAAAGCTCTTCATTGATGACTAGATGTGCTAGAAAATGACTGTGAGGAGCAATTCTGGCAGACAGTTTTGCAGACAGGAACATTAATCTCTGCTTAAGAAGTTGGAGATTACAAAAAGCGTCAGAATGAGGGGAAACCATCCACAAAACAGACGCTGCACCTGCTTTCATGTCAAGCTGTGTTGTGGCATTTTTACAAGTACCAGAAAGGTCATGTAGCATCATGAAAGAAAATGACGTTGACGTTAATAAGCTCTGCAGAGATCTGCGTATGTGTGGGGAGGGCAGCATTAGAACAGGAAAGTCTTACCAGTGGTTCTGGTGTGTGGATGCTGACGGTCTGACGTGGTCCTGAAGGGGAATGTGGAATGCCTGACCCGTACAGCCGGCTCTGTTCTGGGGTGGACGGCGAAGGAGCCGGCGACCTGTTGATCTCTGATGCTGCTGCCAGGCCGAACGGCGGCGCCCCCACCATAAAGTGGGCAGGTGACATCACAGCAGGCAGACTGAAGCTCAGTTTGCTGTGGGCATTTGAGCCTTGCTGTTGTAGGCCGCTGGCCACTAGGGGGTAGTGGGGAAGGGCTGAAGAGGGCACCAGGACGTAGGGCAGTGCCAGGGTGGGAACACTGCTGGGAGGAAGTGCTAGACCAGCTGGTGGCTGGCCGGCAGAGAGGAAGAAGTTGAGGCTATTCAGACCTGGAGAAAACAGATGCTGTGGGTTATTTCATTATTTTTTATACAATATGGACTACACTGTTAGGTTTCAAAGTCATCTGACTTGTACCAAGACAGGCTCCAGATTGCCAAACACGTTAAAAACCTGAGAACAAATCCCCGTTGAACCAACATTTGGTGAGTCGTCATGAAACTGTACATTTTATTGCATTAGTCAGCATGTAACATAATTTTTGCAGGATTTGTACAGATACCGTCTTCTATCAGTCAACTCCAAAACCATTTCATATTCTTACACTATTCTAGTGCTTTTTAGACATGTTTGACTAAGAAAATTTGTTTCACTGTGGTAGAACAAAGCAAGAACAGCACAAACTTAGTTTTAAATACTTGGTTTGCAGTTTTATTTTACACTTAAATGTAATCATTTAGATTGTATTATACAGTTTACCTCTGTCACATAATCAAACATTAAAATGACTGATGGCTTAACTAGTGATGAGATGTTCAACTTTTTAAAAGTATTTAAAAAGGTAAAACTGATTTTTGTACTTTCCCCCAAACAAAACTAATACTGTATTTTAATGTTTACAATTTACAAACCCAGACTCCAGTCTTTGTGTTGTCATGTCAGTATGAACCTGCAGACGGTCTCTTGTAATACTGTCAGGCTTGATGATATAATATCTCCCAGAAGATGTGCAACACTGTTGTTCTACTTCCAGCTGCTCCAAATGAGCTCACCCCTGTACCCAACCAAGAGCTGATTTCTGCTAAACAAAACTCTACTGTTCCTGATGCAATAAAGGAGAAATGTTTAATGGAGCAGATAAACGATTTGAGTCCTTTAAAAGATAAAAATAAGTGGCTTGTTTTTGAACAAGATAGTGTGTGCATGCGTTTTGTTACTTATAATATGCTAAATATTCTATGTGGAAAATACCCTGAGAACTTCTCAAATCCAGCTAACAGTTCTGACATACCCTTGCCTGTAGTGGGTTTTCAGAGTTGTGTACATACCTGCGTTGTTGGGTACATAGAGGTAGTGTGATGGCTGGGCCGGCTCACTGATGCAGTTGCCACCTAGACTTTCATCAAACGCCTGCTCTCTGGAGAGGCCTGCTGGGCTTTCTGGGGAAGTCCTGGTGTTACCCCTTTGGGAACACTCTGCTGCTTCCCTGTGAGGTTCAGATCTCATCTGGAAGGGAAAAAAAAACACTGGGAATAAATTCAAGAATTAAAGTCCAAGGATTTTTCCTCAAGTAAGAGTGCAGTGCCTATGGCCAATTATCTAAATTGTGAAAAATGGGACTTCCAATTACTAGTGCTGCGTAGCCTGATTAATTGCTGGGGGGTTCCAATTATCAAATATCCTATACATCACTAATATGATATTTCTTTAATTACACCAGGAATGAGTTATTCTCATCAGCGAGCGGGTAGCATTTCATATTTTCAATTTAACGGGCTTCTATCAAGAATTATAGAGGATCTTGTGATTGTGGACACAAAACTACACAGGAAAAAGGCATAATGTAATCACGTCACTGCACTGAACCAAAATAATTATGCTGTTCAGTCAATCTTACTATATTAGACAGTAAGTAAAATGTTTTTCTCTGTAAATATTTTATCAGCATATCAAGACACACACCACCACCTCACCTTGTCACATTCCTCTAACCTAGACGTTCCCTTCTTTTTCACCACCGTCTCCTCTTCTTCCCTTTCTTCCCTCCTTCTCTTCCTCCCCTCCTCAGACTCCAACCTGGGCAATCTCTGGCCTTCAGGCCTCTGGTCAGGCTTGTCTGGCGCCCTGTACAGCATGACCACCGAGGGCTGGGACAGGCTGGGCAGGTAGGCCAAGCAGTGGGGGGAGGAGGAAGGTGTGAAGAGATGCTCTTGGTGTAGAGAAGGTGCCAGCAGGGTGGGGTGGGCGGAGGAGAGAGGCAGCGGGCTGCTGCTGCGGGTCTGCAGTGCTGCGCCTGGACAGTTACTGCAGGGAAACAAGAAAGCAAGACATTTTTATTTGTTAGAATTCAAGCTTAAAGTACAAAAGCTAATAAATAAATGAGCTTCATTTAAAAATAACAACAAAAGGCAACCCTCACAGGGCCTGGGTCCACATACGCTTTTCCGTGGTCCAAATATGATGCTTGAATGGATGTCAAAGGACACATGCCGAGGTGGAAATGGAGACTGGCAACTCTAGAGTGTCTTTCCAAAGTAGATTTATAGTTTTTTTTACTTTAGCTTTAGTGCATTAATGAAACAATCAACAAATAAGGTTTGGCCTCTCTCTTGCTTACTTTACTACAACAGTGGTTCTCAAAGTGTGGTCCAGGGACCCCCAGAGGTTCCCCAGCAAAAAAAAAGTGGAATCATTTATTTTCCATCTAAGTAACAGGACAGAATGTGACTATTTTGGTCATGGGTTTCATGCACTTTCTGTAATGAAACATCAAAAAGCCAAAATCCTGTCAGATGGGAGACCCTGGGATAAAATCGTATCAAATGGGGGTCTGATTTGTGTCAGTTAGGGGTCCCTAATGTTAAAAAGTTTGAGAAGCACTGCATTACAAGACATAACAGGAAATGTCCAACTCTTCTCCTAGTAGTGGTACCAGTGGCACCCAGTACTTCCTATTTGTGTGAATGAAGCTGTCCACAAAATGCAGTAGCTGCGGGTTTTATGTATGACCAACTGGGGAAAAAATCTGCTCTGCAAACTCTGCTCAGGGATGCGAGCGAGCGTGGACAATTTTTAGGCACCAGGGTCGATGGCAGAGGAATTAAATCCCTGGCTCCCACCGGACAAAAAGCAGGGGAGATTTCTGAACCCTTGGAAAAGTTTGTGTGGTAGAAAAGGGGCTAGATGGCCCTCTGATCTCTCTCGCTGATGTGCAGACTTCTCACTGGCCGCCTTCCAGCTATGAACCTCCACCTCTTATCCTGTGGGCTACTACTGCCTCTGGTGCATTTTGTTTTACCCAGCTTCATGTGTAAAATATTCCTTTTCAACACACTTCTATGCCCCATTATTATCATCGCTCCCTCCAGAAACACTTAACAGCCACAGCCCTGAGGCAGCTGTGGTTTGGCCAGCAAGCAGGCCAACCGTAGAAATAACAACCAGAACTACTGTGTACTGTATCTATGGAGCCAACGCATACAACCATAGGAGACAAAAACTATTCATATCCACAGTAGTCAGCTTATGTTACATGTAGCCTAAAGCTAATCACATCAGCCAATGAAAACACAGGCAGTGAGTGTGAAATATGGTATACGAATGAGATCTAAAAACCCCTTCGGAGACTGGGGGGCCATGGCACCTTATAACTAAACATGTTGTTAATAGCGTGTAATGCCATCTGTCAAAATGAAAACTGTGTATCCATTTGGATGCAGTTGTGTCACTTTAGTTTGGAAGGAGAGTTCAATCTGAGACGAAGAGTTTCTCTATAATATCTAATTTCCCCCTTGTTCCAGGCAGCTGATGTGGATTCTCTACAATAATACTGAAAGACTGACCGAGGTTAGCGAAAAGAGTTACTGCAGTAAATTGTACAGCACACAGTAGTATATTTTACTGTAGTCTGCAGTGGTAAACCAAGAGACTGCAACTGGTGATCAAACAGGTTGAGTGTGTATGTGTGTTAGTATTAACTCACTCAGTGCTGTTTCCAAACTGCAGTTGACACACTGCATTGTTGCTTGAAGTCTTTCTGGAATAATCCACAGGCTGGCTTGGCTGACCTGCAGTGTGAGGAAAGTAAACCAGTTATCAGACATGAACATAAAAAAAAAAAAACTCTACTGTAATACAGCGACAAAAGGAAACTGCAAAATTCATAGTGTCTCTCACCAGTAGGTTCTCGTCGTGGACTGCTGGGTGCAGAGCTGACCTGCCGCTGGATGGCCACAGAAGTTGGTGTGATGTTGAAAGAGGCGTAGCGTGCCATCTTGGCTTTTCTGAGGTCCTGGCCTGCCATTGGCTGCGTGGCCCCAGGCAGAGTGACAGCCGCCAAGTCCACAGTATTTCCTACAGATGATGACAGTGAGATGGATGACGTTAGCATGATAGCAGTAATGGCAAATGTAGTTAATGGCAAAAAATCTGACATTTGGTAGACTCCTCTATCCAAAACACCTTACAGGTGACAGAGATGCATATTAATCACTGTCACCAGAGGTCCGGGAGCTTCAGAGCTACTTTTGTAAAGTTAATAAAGCTTGTCTCCTTACCGGCATTTCCAGAGCGTTTGAATTCAACAGGGCCAAGCCACTTGAAGGCCGGCTTCCTGCCTCTCTCCTCACGGACATGGACCTTCTTTATGAGGCCCAGGCTGGTCAGCACATTGGCAATGTCGTACAGTCGCCGCACCTTAGCTGAAGAAGATACGGGATGGGGTTTAGTTTTGATAACACAGGATCTGTAATACAAGACATTTTCATCTTTTGTACTTTCTTTCTCACTTTTGTACTTGCTGTGACTTGACGAGTCCTGACTCTCCTCGATGAGAATCTTCGCCGCTGTGTCCAGGGTAACAGTCTGAGTTTTGGACACCAGGAACAGCATCACAAACTTCTGGCTCATGATGCGCAGAGATTTGTCTTTCCTGTTGCCAGCAGCTAGAAATAACAGAAACATCTACATTATATAATAACTTTTTGTAATCACCAGTGAACATTGGGTCATTGCAGGAGCAAGGAATAACTAATTTGTATAAGAACATATTTATAAAAAACAGACCCCTCTTCCTCTTATGTAAATACCTGCAATAATTCAAACCCGCCCTTCAAAACCTCTTTCTATTGTGTTTTTGTTGAATGTGACTTAAAACATTTTAAAGCAGTGAAATGAAACCTTAAACATGAACACATGTATGTTAAAGCAGGGGGCAGGCCTCTGTGCTCTGCAAGAAATTAGCATTCACATACCCGTGGCTCACTTAACACAGTTAAATGCAGACACACATGAGGTTTTGTTTAATTAGAGCCTTGATTTTTCCTGTTTAACAGGAAAACCAACACAAAAGCAGAGACAACCCTCATGAATATAAATATAAAGCACCACTATCTGACTGTTCAAAGGTCACTGTAAACTGAGGATCCTGATCATTTTGTAGATTAGAAAGATTTCAATGGTTTACCACACTGCCTCTTCTAATGGTAGTGGTATGGTATGTTAGATATGGTGTCATTAAGCATTAAAATGATGGAGGTTCAGCCCTAACCGCTCCTGCAGAGAAAACCAAAACCCTTAAATTTAGAAAATAAATACCACATCCTCTAATACCATGTTTGCAGTCTGAGTACCAACCTTCCAACGCCCATAGGAGTTGCACCCTACATATATCGTCTTTCACATTCAGTGAAATGTTTCCAACTTGTTAAAAAATAATTGATCGTGAACCACGACATTAACACTTAAATGTGCAGCTGCCGCCTTAATAATACCATTTCAGATGTAGGTGTTTGTTGTTCTGCAGGACAGCAGTGATGACAGCTATTACGTATAATTATATCGCCTGAGGTCATCACATTCAACCAGCCGTAACAACACCAGCAGACATTAACCACTTAATGGACATCAAAGCCTGTCACTGGGCTTTACCTTTGTAAAGTGCCTCTTCGTCATGAGTGCTATTATTATCCTGCCACACTGACAAGTCAACACACACACTCTCAATGAAAAGCTGTGTGCATGCATGAGGAGGAAGGATCCCTATGGAAACCAGGCTTGTATTCACTCTCCTGTGGGTTTGAGGGTGAAGGGAATGATCGTTTAGCTGTGGTAATTTTGTGGTAGCTGCTCCCGAGATGAAACCTACACTTGCATTTTTACACATGCGACATTAAACTGATGGTGTCATCCAAGTGCAACATTAAACTTCAGCCCCTTTATCACTGCCAGTGGTAAAGACATGCAAAGGTGCTAGCAGAAGAAAATGGGAAACTAAGAACTAGCAGAAAGGGTATTTGCAGAATCTCTTACTGAAGGTTGCATAAAATTAAATCCCTCTCCGTTCATTACCGTTGCCAGCATCTCCTTCTGCGCCGTCGTCCTCGTGCCCCGCTCCGGCCTCTCTGGCCTCGGTGGCCAACGCCATCTGGATGTGGTAGCCCTGCTGCCGACCTCTCTGCTGCAGCTCCTCCAGCGTGGCCTCCAGCCGCTGACGGCCGTACCAGGTGTAGCTGTTCTTGGCTATCCGACCCACAATCATCAGAGACTCTAATACGTTGACGATGTCATAGATACGCCGCCGCTCCACTCCTGACAAGTTCAACAGAAGAGCAGAGAACTGATCTGCCCGTTCTTAGAAAACATACGGGCATGTTTAAATAAAAACAGTGTGTGTCAGTGTACAAATAAATGAATGTTACGAAACTAAAGAGCTTTGCTCCAAATTGCAGCTCAGCACCTTCCACTAAATACAGAGGGATTCTAATGTTTGTATGAAATAACAACCGTCCCTAAATCCAATAACATAAAATGACCGGCTCTTACCAAGACTGGTCGCCACCTCATCCAGTGAGATCCAGATGGGGATGTGCGGTGGTGGGTAATCAGGGTAGAGGGCCAGGAACTTCTGGCACAGCAGACCCAGACTCTTCTGCTTCCTGCTGGGCTTTTTGTCAGTATCATCCTCTTCCTCTGCAGCTTCAAACTGGACAGACACACAAAACGCATAAAGAGATAAATGATAAACATTTCTTCTTAAAATAATTTTCCGCCGGCTAAGTGATCCTTGGGGTTATTTAGCATGCACATTAACACACATCTCAGTTCAGTGCCTTAAATAGACATCTTCAAATGCACATATTTTAGAATAGAATTAAATCCTGCAATA